TGAATGCAAGTGCCTTGGCTTTGTCTTCGGCATGCCAATTGAAGCTTATATATGTCAATACCTGCACCCAGCACTGATTAAATGTCTTCATTTCAAGTGCATACAAAGGGCGTTTTTAAACTGTAGCGTGCAGCATTGATCATTACATTATCGCTGTATTATACTTAATTTCCTCTTCATTTTTCTAGTCAAGCTCTGTGTCATACTATATTAATACTGGTGGCAACATGCTGATTGATTCTCTCTCTCGTTTGGCAGGCAAGCATGCTATAGGGAGATCAGGAGACTGCTCATATGCCATCCCCACAACACTGGATGCTCTTATCCATGTTTGAAAATGGAATTAACCTGGGCTTTGTGATCTTCCGTCCTCCCACGTGTTTTGTAGCAAGCAATTAAAAAGCGCAGCTGAACAGCATGAAAAGGCCTTGGAAGTTTAAGGGAGTACTGTGCAAAAGGGAAGGCTTTCTGTGGCAGGCACAAGCATGCCTGGGCCCTGAGAGTGACACCAGCTTGATTCAGTTTTACTCATGGCAACAACAGAATATTTCTGATGTGTCTTGAGAGGCAACTACCAGGGGCTGGAATGTCCCCAACTCTTACTCAGTCATGAGAGGAGAGACGGGGGCTGAAATGCTGGCTGGGGCTTCAGGCCAGGAGAGTGAAGAGCGGTCGTACCATATTCCACTCTTTGAAGAAGTGGGAGGGATGGAGGCAGAGAAGGGAACGCAGCCAGAAGGGCTATGGTTACTATATCCCTGCTCTCCCTGCCAAGTGTCACAGGAGTTAACCAGACAGAGCTTGGGAGTAGGCTGATCTGGGGGCTAGGCTGAAGCAGCTAGTTCTTCCTCCCAGAACAAGGAGAGAGTTGAAGAGAAAGTGTCCCTTTGTGAAAGGCGATTCCTTCCTAAAGCTTCTCTTGACACGGGCAAGGAGCTGGCACCTTTCATGGGCAAATAAGCCTGTCAGAAAGCTTCCCAGTAGTTTTATTACCAGTTGTTGGCTCATCAGTGATATGTAGCTGGACACCACATCCATTAAATGAAAGACTGCAGAAACATGGTGGTGATTACCTCTCCATGAACCTCAAATGCCAATAAATGCAACCAAGGACAGCTTACAAATCAAAGGGGATAATAACAACAAAACTCTTGCCCATGTAGGCAAGTCCTTTCCTGATATTTAAGATCCATTTCTAACCCATCTGCATCTCAAAACACAGACTGGGATTTCGAGCATTGTGTGATTTAGTAATATGCCGGTTAGCATCTTATTAACAGCCCAGGGTCAGGGCAGCACACAGAGACATTACCCCAGGGGAAGAACAGGAATTTAACAGAGTCTCACTTTGGTCCCTGCTTCCTCCAAGTTCCAGGGAACGTTTCCTGGTGCAGCTCACTTCCTCTCCGGCACTGACTCAGTTGTGCTGGCTGTGGCAGTAGGGGTCAAACCTTGGCTCTCACGGTCCATCTTCTAAGTAAAAGGAGCCACTTGCAGAACACTCTTCACCTTGCATTACAACCTGCAAAACAAGCAAGTCTAACTCAGCACCAACACGTAGATCTGCTGGGACAGAATCTCTGTGCGAGTCCCTTGCCACTTATAGTTTCATAGTTTCTAGGGTCGGAAGGGACCTGAGCAGATCATCTAGTCCGACCCCCTGCCATGGCAGGAAGAGCACTGGGGTCAAACGACCCCAGTAAGGTGGTCATCCAACCTCCTCTTAAAAACCCCCAGGGTGGGAGCCTGCACCACCTCACTTGGAAGCTGGTTCCAGACCCTAGCCGCCCTGACCGTGAAGTAGCGCCTCCTGATGTCCAACTTAAACCTTCCCTC